GTTGACACCAACACCCAATTCGGCGGTGTGCCTCCACCGAGAGAAGAAGATCCCGATCTCGGTGATGGTGGCAATATTCTGGCTTCCAAGGTGGCCGACATATTACCACCAACACCGAAATCTAGGATCATCTTCCCCCTGTGGAGGCAGCCTCCTGGGTTGGTGTTGGTGCCCACTTCCAGGCCTCCAATCACCGTCGCTGTCCCTCGGAACCCTCCCGCACCACAGGTGCCCTTTGCGACGCTGGTCAGCATCGGGGGCAACCTCATGCGCCTAGACCGCGGCGCGCCGCCCTCGAGGACGGGGGCCGCGAGCCACATCGGGCGGGACGAGGAGCTCCGCAGCCCCGCCCCGCCCCTCGGGGTCTCCTGCTCCGTCGAGGCTGGGCTTCTGCGCGCGCCGCCATCGGGATCCGCCTGCTCCGTTCTCGGTGGCGCGCCGCCGGGGGCCGTGGGCGGGGGCAGGCCTTCTCAGCAGGCGGCGGGGCCTCGGAGCAGGCTGGGAGGCTCGTCAAGAAGACCAGAGGCCCTCTGAGCCCTCCGGGAAGGGAAGGCCCGCCTCTTCTGACTTCCGCCTTGGGCGCGCCGCCGACGTCTGTTTGGTTTCGTTTTTTTTTTTTTTTTTTCTTTCCGCTGGAGCGGTGTGTCCGGCAAGGCCGTCGGCGACACGAACGATGACGTTGTTTCGGGGAGAGCCGTTTGCCTGCCGTACCGGGCAGGGCAGGAGCGCAGGAGGCGGTCTGTTAGGCTGCCCTGCAGCTGCTGCCCCCCAGCCCGTGTAGTCTGAGCCTGGCGTGTGGCTGATCGGCCGGGGGTTCACAGCACACAGAGTGTCGACGGTGCCCCCCCGCTCCCCCTCTTGATGCTTTTCATTCGCCAGGGCGTTCTCGGCCCTGCTGGCGTGGCTGTCCTGTGTAAAAGCTGAGGTGCCCCTCGGAGCCCTCCAGGAACCGAAAATGGATGTAGAAGTTGAAAGCAGAGGCCACCCCTGGACAAGAGCCGAAGTCCAGGCCAGACACGGCCCCCGCCAACAGGAAACGGTAGAGGTACCCCGTGACATCTTGAAGGTCAATGATAAAATCGTTGCCTTGAGTGATCGGCAGGGTGGGCAGCGCACCGAGGTGAAGACCACAGCCCACCAAAACTGATCGAAGACAGACATCGACACCAACCCGAACAGGATCGTTCAATGCTGTAGGTTCAGTGTTAGCCAGAGTGGACCCTCAACAGTAATACAAATTATATTTATACAACATAGACCAAGACGTAACATAATATCAAGTAAATTAAGCCAGCAGTGGTATCAATAACACTAACACTACTACTAGGACCAGTACACGTATTCATATTAATTGTGTTCACACTATTTTAAATCGTACTAATTCCCGAATTAGCAGTGCTAGTCGCCATACCACCAATATTAACCGTATTAATGCCATTACTAATAATATTAGACTACTAATTAGAAACATCGCAGCAATACTGTTATTGATAATCATACTAAAATCGCGACTGCTCATATGAATCAGGTTAGTACTAACACTAGTAATCAAATGCTTGAAATGCGGCTACTATTAACCTCATTATGACGATTGCGGTTTTTCTTCACACGTTCTTAGTAGTGATATTAGACATATCAGTAGTAGTAGTAGTAGTAGTAGTAGTAGTAGTAGTAGTAGTAGTAGTAGTATCAGTAGTAGTAGTAGTAGTAGTCGTAGTCGTAGTAGTAGTAGTAGTAGTAGTAGTAGTAGTAGTAGTAGTAGTCGTAGTAGTAGTAGTAGTAGTAGTAGTAGTAGTAGTAGTAGTAGTAGTAGTAGTTAGTAGTAGTAGTAGTAGTAGTAGTAGTAGTAGTAGTAGTAGTAGTAGTAGTAGTAGTAGTAGTAGTAGTAGTAGTAGTAGTAGTAGTAGTAGTAGTAGTAGTAGTAGTAGTAGTAGTAGTAGTCGTAGTAGGTGTACTACGGATTGTTTAACCATAATAGTTCTATTGATCTTAGTAGTACTGATAATGCTAGTAGTATCATACTGTTACCAATACTGGTACGAAACGAAGAAGAATACAAACCACATTAAGAGTAACCCGAACGTTTATACGCAAAAGAGATGTACCAATTAATAGTATCGATATTAGTAGTATCAATACTAGTAGTATCAATATTAATAGTATCAATATACCAATAACTGAATAATATTAGTAGTATCAATATTAATAAGAAGACTAATGAGAAAAAGGAGCGGAGGACGAGGAGGAGGAGGAGGACGCGGTCGAGGAGGACGAGGACGAGGACGAGCGCGAGGGCGACGACGACGGCGCTGGCGAGCCTCTCGCGCCGCTGCGGAGCCGCCCCGCGCCGCCGCGCAGCCGAGCCGCCGCGCCCCCGCGCGCAGGAGGCCCTCGCCGGCGGAGAGTGAGGCTGCGGCCGCCACGGTCTCCGTGCGCTGTCGGCCGCCGGCTCTCTTGCGCGCGCCCTCGCGAGCGGAGCACTACCCAACGGCACCTCCCGCCGCAACCAGGCCACGCTCCCGCGCCCCGGAGGCTCCAGCCTGCTGCGCTGGGGGAGGCCCGGGGGACATCCCGCGCGGAGGGCCCGTGGAACTGCGGCGGCGGCAGCGCGTTCGCGCGAGCCGCGGGGCGCTGGGTCGCCCGGCCGGCGCCTGGGCGGGGGGCCTGCCGCGGGCGAGAGGCTCGCCATGGGGGAAGCGGGTCCTGAAGGAATCGGATCCTGAGGTCTGCGCCGTTTTCGGGCTCTGCGGGGCCCTCCGCGGGCCCTGGGACTGTCAGAGAACGTCTCAGGATGAAGAAGTGGTCCTGGTGGAAGGCACCAACTGTACACCAACACCGATCCTGGCCCAGGATCACCCTGGGCCCAGGATCGGTGTATATGCCTTCTTGCGCAAGGCAGGAGGGCGTATACACCGATCCTGGGTCCAGGGTGATCCTGCCCAGGATCGGTGTTGGTGTATAGTTGGTGCCTTCCTATCCTGGGGAAAGGCCCCAGGGTCCAGGACCCGTTTCCCTCAGGACCCCTCTTCCCCCATGCCAAGGGGGCCGCCGCGGCGACCGCCGGGGCCGCTTGCAGGACGCCGCCTCGGTCGCGCCGGACCGGCGCCGCGGGCGCGCTGTCGTCGGGCAGGGCCGCGGGCAGCGGCGTGTTCGCCGCCGAGCACCGGTGGCGGCCAAAGAGAGCGCGCTGGGGCGGGGGGCGCCGCGGGGCGTGGTGGTGGTGGTGGTGGTGAGGATGACGAGGTCGAGGCCATGGTGATGACACGAGCGAGGGCTTCCAGTATTTCCAACATTTCCTGGTGGCCCGCATGGGCCGCAGAGAAGACGGCTGCTGGATACTCGCAGAGTTTCTGGAACGCATCCCGAGCCAATCGCATGATGACATCATTCTCCTCCTGAGGAGCACGACGCGCACGAAGCGCGGGTAGGCCCCAGGTCACGGGCACCGCGGCCTGGGGCCCGACGTGGGGCCCGCGGCGTCGCGCTGGCACCTCTGGCACCAGCGCCGTCCGTGCCAGCACGCACCTGTCCCCTCGGCATCGAGCCCCAGACCTCGTCTGGAGCGCGTTCCGACCAGGACCTCGAGTCGAGTCCGGCCGTGGCGACGAGGGCCCCCTCGGAAGGCCAACAGAAGGACGAGGAGGTGGATGAGGAGGGGCGCGTTCGGACCAGGATCTCGAGGCAGACCCACTCGTGGCGACGGGATCCCCCCCGAGAAGCCCAGATGGCCGGCCAGGGCTGGGGGGCATAACGGCACCTCGCGTTTTTGAGGGTTTCAATCGCGTCTTTGAGGTTTTCAAGCCTCTCTCTCTCTCTATCTCTCTCCCTCGCTCTCTCTCTATCTCTCTCTCTCTCTCTTTCCTCCTCTCTACCTCTTTCCCTCCGTGGAGGACGCTCAGACTGATTCTCTTTTGCGTGGGAGGAGGGGAGGGTCTGGCCCTGGGGGGAAGATCCCAGCAAAAAAAAAAGACGGCCCCCAGAATCCACCGGTCCATCTTTTTTTCGGCATGCCCCGAATAAAACACGAGGCCCGTGCAGCAGAGGGGGCCGTTTTTTCTTTTTTTGTTTGCTGGGACTTTTCCCCGAGGCCGAGGGCCCAGCCCCTGGACGGGCAGGCAGGCTTGTGGGTGTCGGCGGCACCTCGTCCGCCTCCTCCTCCTCTCCAGGGCCCAGCGCGCCTCGTGGGCGTCTGCTCCTCCTCCTCCTCCTCCTTTTTCACCCGGCATATCCTCCTCCTCCTCCTCCTCCTCTTCCTCCTCCTCCTCCTCCTCCTCCTCCGCGTGGGGTGCTTGGCCCTGGCTGATGAGGAACGAACCTCCTCTTTCTCCGTCCTGAGGGGCAGGGATTGGGAGGAACCTCTTCCTTTTCCTCTTTCCTGAAGGAAAAGAAGGAAGGAATTTCCTCTTCTTCCTTCCTGAGGGAAACGGAAGGGAATGAGCCTCCTCCTTCTCTCCCTCCCTTTCCCTCAGGAGGAAAATGGGGAGCGAAAGGAGGATCATCCTCCCCTTTCTTTCCCTCGGGAAGATAGAGGAGGAGGAGGTTCCCTCCCCTTCCCTGTCCCCCAGGAAGGAGGAGGATGAGGGGGCTCATTCGCTTCCCTTTCCTTCAGATGGAGGAAGAGAAGGAGGAGGCTCATTACTTTCACTTTCCTCAGGAAGGAGGAGGAAGAAATTCCTTGCTTTCCCTTCCCTTCAGGAAGGAGAAGGAGGAGGAGGTTCCCTTCCTTCCCTCAATTACCTTCAGGACGGAGAAGGAGGAGCCTGTTCGTTCTTCTCCTCCTTCCTCCTGGGGGACAGGGAAGGGAAGGGGACATCCTCGGCCTCCCTTCCTGAAGGAAAGGAAGCGGATGACCCTACTCCTCCTCTTCTTCTTCCTGTATCTGATGGAAATGGGCAGGAGGGGAAGCGCCTCCTCGTCTTCCCTAGGGGAGAGCGAAGGAAAGGAACTTTCCCCCCTCATCTTCGTTCTGGGGGAAGGGAAGGGGAAGGAACTTCCTCCTCCTCTGTCCTGAAGGGTAGGGCAGGAAGGAGCATCCCCTGCCCCATCCTAAGGGGGAAAGGGCAGGGAAGGTACCTCATCATCATCGTGTTTCTTGAAGGAGAGGGCAGGGAATTAACCTGTGCCTCGTTCGCCTGCGTGAGGGAAAGGGCAAGGAGGGAATCTTCTCCTTCTCCGTCCTGAAGGTAAGGGAAGGGAGGGAACCTCCTCCTCTTCCTTCTCCTTCCTGAGGGAAGGTAAGACGAGGAATTTCCTCCTCCTCCTTCCTGAGGGAAAGTGAAAGGAATGAGCCTCCTCTTTCTCCTCCTCCCTCTGAAGGACAGGGAAGCGAATGAGCATCCTCATCCATCTCCTCCTTCCTGGTGGACAGGGAAGGGGAGGGAGCCATCCCTTTTACCTTCCTGAGGGAGAGGAAGGCGGGGATTATCCTCCTTGTTCTCCCCGTACTCCTCCTGAGGGAAAGTGGAGGGAAGGGGCCTCAGCATCGTCTTCCTTCCGGAGGGAAAGGCGGGGAATGGCCCTGCTCCTCCCCCTCTTCCTCCTCCTTCTGATGGAAAGGGGCAGGAAGGGGACCTCCTTTTCGTTTTCTTCCCTGAGGCAAACGGAAGGGAAGGAACTTCGTTTCCACTTCCACCTCTTCTTCTTCCTTCTGAGTGAACGGGAGGGGGGGAGGATCTTGAGATGATTGAGGGTCTCCCTTGCTGGGGTCCATTTGTGTGTGGGCGTCACGCGTAGATTCCGTTTGTGCGAGGGTGCGAGGGAATGCAGGTTGGGGTACGCAGTGATTCCTTTTTGTGGGGGTTACATACAGAGTCCTTGTTGTGGCGGATGTGCAAATCGATTCCTTTTGTGCGGGGTGTTGGGGGGAGGTGGGGGAGGGGGGGGGGGGGTGCGAATGAATTCCCTTTTTGTGTGAGGGGGTACAGTGGGTCCGTTTGTGGGGATTGCAACTGGATTTCCCGTGTGGGAGGTTACACATTGTTTTTGTTTGTGGCGGGATTACAACTCTATTCCCTTTGTGTGTGTGGGGGGGGTACACATATATTTATTTTGTGTGAAGAGGTGCGCATTGCTTCCTTCTGTGGCGGAGGAGGGGAGGGTCTGGCCCTGAGGGAAAAATCTCAGCCAAAAAAAGGCCCTTTGGATCCAATGCCCTATTTTTTCTGGTCTGGCCCAGGAAAACGGCCCATATGTATATGTTTATGAAATTTACAGTTGCGTGTGTATATATATATATATATGCATACATCTATATATATATACACATATATATATGTATGTATATCTCCCTCTCTCTCCCTCTCTCTCTCTCTTATGTTTTTTTTTTTTCTTCCTGGAGCCTTCCCCCAGGGCGGCCAGACCCTCTCGTCCCACGCGCATAGGGAATCTATTTGACCCCCCCCCACAAAAGAGAATCTATTTAACCCCCCCATGAAGGGAATGTATGTGTAATTCCGCCACGAAGGGAATCAATGTGTAGCCCCCCCCCGCAAAATTTATCAGTTTGCAATCACCACAGAGGGAATCGACTTGTACCCTCTCGCACAAAAGAGGATCAATTTGAGCGTCTTCCACAGAGGGGAATAGAGAGAGAGAGAGAGAGAGAGGGAGAGAGAGAGAAAGAGAGCGAAAAAGAGAAAAAGAGAGAGAGAAAGAGAGAGAGAGAGAGAGAGAGAGAAAGAGAGAGAGAGAGAGAGAGAGGGGGAGAGAGAGAGAGAGGAACTTGAAAACCTGAAAAGCGCGAGGTGCCGTTATGCCCCCCTATCCGGCCAGCAGAGCCCGGGGGGAGGAGAGTATCATTAACACGCCGCCGTTGGCAGTCCGTCAGCGGGTGTCTCCTTCGTTTTTGTCCAAGACCTGGTGTTTCTTCAACGGTAACACGCTGATATGTTCCCCACGGCGGCGTGTCATTGATATTGTTTTCGCTCCCCTAAGCGTCAGAAGCCCTTCCTCCTCCCCTCCCCCATCCCCTCCCCTCCCCTTCCCTCCCCTTCTCTTCCCTCCCCTTTCTTCCCTCCCTTCCTCCCTCCCTTCCTCCCTCCCTCCCCCCCCTGGCCGGAGGCTCCAGGAGAGGTCTCCAGAGGCCTTCCTTCCAGGGGCTACCTGTGACAGAACCTCGACCGCAAGCGATGCCGAATGAAACATCCCGGGCGTTGCAGCCTCGGGAAAGGAGGAGGAGGACGCGGAGGAGGAGGATGATGATGAGGAGGAGGAGGATGAGGTGGAGGTGGAGGAGACGAGGAAGAGGATTATGATGAGGATGAGGATGAGGATGAGGATGAGGATGAGGATGAGGATGAGGATGAGGATGAGGATGAGGATGAGGATGAGGATGAGGATGATGAGGATGAGGATGAGGATGAGGATGATGATGAATGATGATGATGATGATGATGATGATGATGATGATGATGATGATGATGGTGGTGGTGATGGTGATGATGATGATGATGCTGATGCTGATGATGATGAGATGATGATGATGTGATGTGATGGTGGTGGTGATGGTGATGATGATGATGATGATGATGAGGAGGAGGAGGAGGAGAGGAGGAGGAGGAGGAGGAGGAGGATGGGAGGAGGAGAGGAGGAGGAGGAGGAGGAGGAGGGGGAGGAGGAGGAGGAGGAGGAGGAGGAGGAGGAGGAGGAGGAGGAGGAGAAGGAGGAGGAACAGAGGAGGCCCCGGCCCAAGTTGCTCCCTGCGTCTTGCACCTTGCAGGGGATCCTGGGGATCTGGACCTCATGAGAGGGTGCTCGGACGCCATCTGCGCCTCCCTGGGAGCTGGGGTCATCCTGGGCCAGAGCCACCTCTTGCGCGCTGTAGTGGACGGCCGTTAGGCCTGAGGTGTTCGTCACCGATGTGTTTCACGCTGGGAAGGCCTCCTGCTTGACCTTTTGCCGTGCTAATCTCATCATTTCTGCGACACGAATCGGAGATGCATCCTCTCTGGCATGTTGTTCAGCGACAGTGTGTCCTATAGCAGGTTGTTCAGCGACAGTGCGATACCAGTGGTCTATCTTGAGGGTAACCTGGCATTATGCACTTATCGCCACGCCTTTTCGGTGTGCGTCTATCGCTTCTCGCCCCAGGATGTTTTTTTCCCCCCTCAGTGCGTGATCCCACGAAGAATCTAGCAGGATTCC